GCTGCAGGTGCCCATGCCCTGTCCCGATCATCAGCCCTAAGCTGGAACCCCAGGGCCCTCCTAATCCTCCTCCATGTGCTTTGAGGGGAGCCTCTCTTCCCTATTGTCTGCTAGGGTGGCCGGAATTCCACCGCTGTCATCTTTAGCAAAGTCCTTCTCACTTTTAGGAAGGAGTAAGAGGTCTGGGAAGGGATATCCTCATCACAAGAACCTCATCTCAGGCTGGCTGTGGAGGAGCAGGGCAAAGGCAAGAAAGGCAGAGCGTGTGCAGGAACCAGCAGGGTGCTTTGGCGGGAGTGAGGTGTCTGGTCAGGGAAGAAGCCTACTGGGGTGGGGAAAGAGGAGGAGGACAGGCAACCTGGCCTGGAGGGGCCCTCAGAGCCGGCAGTGACCAGGCCAGGTACTATAGCTCCTGCTGCCTCCTCCTCCCTCCTCTCTGCCATCCTCAGACCATCTCTTCCTGCCCGTGCCCCTCTTCTCCCTCCATCCATTCCCACTGCCTGGCCCCATCTGTCTCCTCTCCGTTGCGCTGTGTGTCTGTCTTTTCTGTCTCTCTGGATCGGTGTCTTCCTGCATCCATGTCTGTCTGTCACTCTGCATGTCCGTCTCTTTCTTGCTCTGTCTCTGTCTCATTCTGCCCATCCACTCTGGCATCTGTGGGTCTTCACGTCGCTATCACCCTGGGGGTCTTTGTCTCTTTGTGCTGGGTCTTTTTGCTCTTCTCTCTCTCTCTCGTCTCTGCCTCTCTGTGTCTCTGTCTTCCCTGAGGGTGTGTGTGTGTGTGTGTGTCTGTCTGTCCATCCACTAGCTCTCAGGCAACTGAAAATACCCCCTGCATCCCATTTGATGTGCAGTTGTGAGATTCCCTTTGAATATTGCAGCAGCGAGTTGACGGTTGCCAAGGGAACAGGTCAGGAGAAATGGGGGGACTGAAGGGGGATCGGGAGCCAGGCGGGGGGTGTGGGTATGCTTTTCTGTTTTCATCTTCTTTGGCGCTTTCCTTTTCCAAAGCTTAAAAAAGGGCGACAATTTAAAATGATTTTTCAAGAATCAACACGACAGAAATAATGGCTCCTAATTGTGTTGGACTAAAAGCCAGGCAGGGAGAGTGGCAGTTCCCCCTCCTGTGCCTGGAGGGAGTTAATGGCCAGATTCTGGGAGTGGGGTGATTAGAGGGCCTGGAAGCCACTTTGCCTGGCACCCGGAACTGGCATCGCCCACAGCTGACTCCCCCTGCACAGCTCTGAGCGCAATTTCAGAACCCCTAAGCCTGGAGCATCACAGCTGGATGTGAGATGAGGTTTTGTGGCCACACATGGAGGTGTGGGGTGCATTGGCCCTACTGCTGGCCTTTTAGCTGGAGGTGGGGGCCAGGGCTGGGGACAAGAGGTGGGCAGAAGAGGCCGGGCTCTAGCCATTCTCAGACCAGGCACACATTCCGGTTTTCCCAGGCAGTTTTGCAAAAGCATCCTTGCTCTCCTCTGCCCAGCCCTAATTTGGTCATCATGGGGATTAACAGAGATGATCCCTGCACAGCACCCCGCATAGTGCCACACTGGCCTGGCTGTCCACGCACCATCCTCTGCTGTGCAAATTAGAGACCCCTGTGAGCTTGGACTGGACTTGAGCCATCTGCCTCTGGCATGGCCATGGTTGTTTCACCAGCATCTACTCACTTGTACACCAGAGTCTTCTGTGAGTAGGATGTGGGTTTGTGCAACAATAATGGTTACTTATTAGCTATGTAACGAGTGGAAATTATTAATAGACTTGTTTCCTTGTGTCCTTTTCTAAACTGTCTATGAGCCCTTATCCATTTAACCTGCATAGTCAATCTTCGAGATAGGGACTATTATTGTTCCCAATTTGCAGATGAGAAAATTGAGGAATTTGGCAACTGTGATACAGAAATGAAAGTGCAATGACTGGGGAAAATGCAGGAAGTCAGGGGATCAAAGAAGCAGATGAGGTCTGAGCAGGGTCTGGCAGGTTGTGTGGGTGACTACTGGGTGCACTGTGTGGGGGTGGGTTTGGAGGGCAGCATGGGTGGACAGTAGACAGGTGTAGAGGGGTGTGTGAGGCCCACCTGGGAAGATTAGGAAGGACCTGGAATAGAGTGAAGGCCCCTTGCAGGGGTCTTGAGCACCTATGTCATCTTCCCCACCCCCAGCCACCCGTGAAGAACTCAGTTGAGGAATAAGGCTGTCACCACCTTGGTGACTTCCAGCCTCACCCAGCCATTGATTCTGTGAGACCAGGCTGCAGGGAGCCAGCTCTGTTCAACATGAACCCCTCAGGAGCACAGGGCTTCTCCCTTCACCCACCCGTCCCTCATCCTCCCCAGGCAGCCTGAATCCTGTCCTCTGTCCCTGTGTCCCCACTTGCTTTGACCCCCATCTGTCCCCATTAGTTGTCCTACATCTTTCAAAGAGATGCCTGGTGAGGGTGGGGCTAGGTGGTGGGGACAGTGCCATTGCTGTGTCCTGGAGCCTGCAGATGACTCGGTAGTCTCTCCTCAAGGTGGAAGTTTCTCCCCTTTTGTCAAGCCCATGTCCAAGCAACTCCAAGTGCCGGCCAATGCTGCCCAGGGCTTCTGAGCTGTGTTTCTCACAATCTGCGGGAAACATGGTCCTGCAGCCTCCACCATTGGGTAGGAGGGACCCAGGATTGGAGACAAGACTGGGAGAAGGATGCAGAGAGGGGCTAAGCATTATGCGGAGGCTGCACCTGCAGAGGGGCATGATGGGAGAACAGTGTGGGCCCCAGTGTCAGGAGAGCTGCAGTGAAGAGGTGCAGTGGGCCTTGGCATGAGGGAAGGCCTTGGAAAGGTGGAGAGAAAGGGACTGAGTACCTCCTGGGGCTCTCTAGCAGCCTGGACCTGCGCCCCAGTGCATGATAATCGAATTAGGACTGACTGACACCCTCAGTGACTTCTTTTGGCAATTGGCCTTCCCTTGTCACAGGCTTCCCAGTACTAGGTAGGAGCCTGAGTTTTAGAGAGGTGCTCTTTAGTTTTTGTATTCTGATGTTTTGGGCTTTGCTGACTTTAGAGGAACTATCCGTAACAGTTCCTAGAGATAGATGACTCCCTGCCAGTATACCTTTTATATGCAAACCACCCAGCCCAGAACCCACATCCAGTCAGCGCCTCTCACACTCAGGACAGTGGGGTGACACTATTCCCCTGCCCTAGACCCTAGGGTCAGGATCAGACACCCAGGGACAGCCCTGTGCCTCAGAGCTCCCAAATTATTCAAATGAGTTAACCCAACATCTGCTCACCCAGCTCATGGTTTCTTCTTGCATATTCTCTAATGGAGGTTCCTGTCCACATCCACTCTCCCTCTGCCTCCTATCGACCCCTGCTTCTCTGCAGGGCCCTGTGTGGTGCACCCCTTCCTGTTCCTCAGGATCTGTGAGTAACCAGCCCTCTTTCCAATGGCAGCTGGCTCTTTCTCTGCTGGCCTCACCACAGTGAGCATTTAACACAGCTTCCCAGGGTGTGTGCCAGGCCCCTCCATGTGTCCCTGCAGGCCCACTGCCTTTTTCCTCTGCTCAGGGCCCTAGAAGCCTGTCCTTGGGGAGGATGACATCTGCAGGCTCTGAGCTTCCAGCTTCCATAGCTTTGGAGACACCAGCCAGAAGCCTAAGCGTGGGCGGAGAGTGAGGTTGGGGGGATTATCCATGCACCCCTCCCTGCAGGGCGTGGGCTCTCAGTTCCTCTGTGGTGGCCACAGCTCTTCTTGGGTGACCTGCTCCTGTAGAAGTTCTTTCTCTGGTTCTGGGATTTGCCTTCTCTTCTCACTTTGCAGGTCTTGGCATGGCAAGAGCTTCCTGCTGTCGCTGGCCCCAAGTGCTTCACCATCACCATTTCCCTGAGCCCTGATCGCTCTGTGTAAATGGTCCTGAGTGAAATGCTCCTTTATTTTTTCCACTGGCATGAGTTCTGATCTCCTGCCAGCCCTGATGACAGGGATGACAATGGCAGGGCTGGGCTGGGCAAGGGGTTGGGGTGATCCTGAAGCATTAACCTGGGAAGCTATCTTTCATCTTAAGAGAGTTTTCTCGTTGATACTTCAATTAAACTATTCCAGGACAAATCCTCAAAATGCTAAATTATATGGATCAGATGGGAGAAAATAGGTATACCCGTTCACCATTTTCAGTTACTTTTTTCCTTTTTTTAGAGAGATAATTGGGACTAAGTGTTTCCCAAAATGTGTTCATTCTTCTACCACCTCCACAATTTTTGCTGTATCTGCACACCACCTGTATGATTATTTATCTAATAATTTCCTTTCACTCAGCTTACTTTTTGAAACAGTCAGGTGTATATAATTTACATAATTGGAGCTATAATTTGCATACAGTAGAATTTACCCCTTTGAAGCGTGCGGTTCAGTGAGTTTTAACAAACACACACAGTCACGTGACCACCACCACCACCGAGACCCAGACTGGCGCACTGCTCCCATGCTGCCCTGGTGCCTCTCCGTAGTCAGACTCATCTGCCGCCCAAGGCCATGGGCCACCCTATCTGATTCCTGTTCCCAGGGTTCCCCAAGGTTCTGCCTTTTCCAGAACTTCATGTGAATGGGGTCATACAGTGTGTGGCTTTCATGTCTCACTCCTTTCACTTAGCTAGACGCTGCCACCTTTGGTTTTTTTTTTTTTTTTTTTTGAGGTGGAGTCTCTCTCTGTCACCCAGGCTGGAGTGCAATGGCACAATCTCGGCTCACTGCAACCACCTCTGCCTCCCAGCTTCAAGTGATTCTTCTACCTCAGCCTCTCAAATAACTGGGATTACAGGCATGCACCACCATACCTGGCTAATTTTGTATTTTTACTAAAGACAGGGTTTCACTATGTTGGTCAGGCTGGTCTCAAACTCCTGACCTCAGGTGATCTGCCTGCCTCAGCCTCCCAAAGTGCTGAGATTACAGGTGTGAGCCACTGTGTAGGGCACACCTTTTTATTTTATTTTTTATTTTTTTATTCAGTCTCTGTAGAGACTGTCAAAAACTGCCGGTGCCAACTATATTTCCAGTCGTCATGGCGGGGTATTGGGAAAAGTTTTCAATTGGCAATAATCGCTCCTGGGATAAACCTCATTGGCTACGATACTGCCACTGCACGAAGCTACACCTTTTCATTTTTTAAATCAAGCTAAAACCAAAACCACAATGTATTCATTCTATTGTTCAACATTCTTGTTTCTATACGTTGTGTTTACATGGAGTCATTCAACAAATCCATAGACTGGCTTTTATTTCGGAATATTTCCAGGCAGTAGAATTCTCCCTTCTTAGTTCTGACAAATGCACGGTCATGTATCCACCACCACAAGCAAGGTACAGACAGTGCAGTCACCCCAAAACCTCCGGGGTCTCCCTTTGCCATCAATCACTTCCTCCTCTCCAAACCCACTCCCTGCAGCCACTAAGCTGACATCCCTCCCATAGGATTACTTTTGCCAGAGTTTCGTGTGAGTGGAATAGATGTGGACTTTCGAGTTTGGTGTCTGTCACTGAGCATGTTTTTGAGATTCCTCCATAGTCCTTCATGTATTAACAGTTGTTTCCTTTTCATGACTGAGTACTATTTTATTGTACCAATGTGCTGCTATCCCTTAGTCCATTCACCAGCCAATGGACACTTGGGTTGTTTCTGGTGTGGGCTCATTATGAATAAAGCTGCTATTAATATTTGTACACAGGTCTTTGGCCACATGTTCATTTACCTCACCTCGCACAGAATTGCAGGGTTGTGTGGGAAATGTATGCATAGCTTTATAAGACATGGCCCAACTGTCTTCCAACCAGGCTTCATGCTTTTCCTTCCCACCAGCAGTGTGCGAGAGTTTCAGCCATTCTGTATCCGTCAGCACTCAGCTATGAGGCTTTATGTTTTAGCAGACTCAGTAGGTGTGAAGTGGTAGCTCACTGTGGTGTTAATTTGCATCTCCTTAATGACTAAGGACACTAATGATGTCGAGCATCTTTTTGGAGGCTCATGTCCTGTATCTCTTCTTGGGTGATGTATCGCTTTAACTCTTTTGTCTATTTATATTGGGTGGTTCATCTTTTTCCTATGGAGTTGTAAGAGTTCACTTTGTCCTCTAGACATCAGCCTTTGGTCAGATATATGTTTAACAAATATTTTTTCCCCAGTCCTTGGGTGCTTTTACATTCTCTTAACACTGTCTTTTTCCTTTCTGTTTTATTTTTATTTTTTTTGAAACAGGGTCTTGCTCTGTTGTCCAGGCTGGAGTGCAGTGACTCAATCTTAGCTCACTGCAGCTTCAAATTCCTGGGCTCTCGAGACCCTCCCACCTCAGCCTCCTGAGTAGCTGAGATCACGGGTGGACACCACCACACCTGGCTAATTTTTGTATTTTTGTAGAGATGAGATTTTGCCATGTTGCCCAGGCTAATCTTGAACAAATGGACATAAGTGATCTGCCTGCCTCAGCCTCCCAAAGCATTGAGATTCCAGGTGTGAGCCACCACACCCAACTTGTTAACATGTCTTTCAAAGAGCAAGGGTATTTAAGTTTGATGTAGTCTTCAACTTACTTTTAAAACTTAAACATGTTGTTTTACAGCTTTACATGGAAAACCCATAGTACTTGCCATAAATTGATACGTTGTAAATGCTTTTGGTAGAAAGTTACAGGAAACTCAACTTTCAAGGCCTTTGGGAGTTATCCTAATGAACATGTGATTATCCCACAGAACAGAAAACCTTGAAAAGACAGCCCTGGTATTGTCATCAAGGGCCAGACCTTCCCACCTCTCCACACCACCTTCAGCAGCATGGTGATGTTTGCCTTCAGTCTCATTGCCTCAAGTTACTGGATGGCCGCCCAGCTCTGGGCATCACAACCATGGTTCAGAGCAGGAAGAAGAGCAATTGCAGACAGAGCAGGGTGAGGCCAGGGTGGGGCCAGCCAGGGACCCAAGGTGGTGCACTGAAGGAGGCAATGGTCATAGTGCATGGCCCTGATGGTGAGCACCTCTTTAAATCTGGAACCCTTGGCACATCTCTTGCCTCACACCAGGCCCAGCCCTAGCACAGAGCTGGAGGTTCCCCTGCCTTTCTCTTATCATGTGATTCTCTTTTGGAAGCTCCCCCAGCAGACTGCTCTATGTTTCATGGTTAGAACTAGGGCTGTACTCATAGCCATTTTTGAATGCATGGGTGGCCAGGGGAGAAGATATCCTGGCATGTTGCAAGAAGGAAGTGGAGAAAGCATGCTTCTGTGTGAAGGAGAAGACCTTTCCTGTGTTTAAGATGCAAGCAAATTGTGCATGTCAAAAGAACGTGACCCAAGATACTATTTTGAAACTGCTGGTTTTGCTAACTTACAAAATCTGTTTAGTCCTGGATATATTTGAGTTTGTGGCCTTTGTTAAAATCCATGTACATTATGGAATTACAAAGGACACAGAATGACCAGAACAATCTTGGAAAAAAACAAGTTTGGAGGACTACGCATCCCAATTTCAAAACTTATTACAAAGCTACAGTGTGGTACTACTTAAGAACAGACATATAGACCAATTGATAGAATTGAGAGTCTAGCAGTAATTTTTGGTCATTTATGTTCAACTGATTTTTGGCAAGGGTGCCAAAAGAGTATTCAATGCAGAAAGAATGGTCTTTTGAACAACAGTGCTGAGGAAACTATCTACAAACACACAAATAAATTTGGGCCCTACCTCACACCATATACAAAAGATTAACTCAAAATGGATGAAAGATCTAAAACTATAAGAGTTAAAACTGAAAACTGTTAGAAGGAAAGATAGGGGAAAAGGTGAGTGGCTTGAATTAGGCAACAATTCCTTAGATATTATCCCCAAAGCACAAGCAGTGAAAGAAAAAATAGATAAAGTAGATTGCAAAACTAATCTGTCAAAGAACACCATCAAAAAAGTGAAAAGACAACTCACAGAATGGGAGAAAATATGTTCAAATCACATATCTGATAGGAGTCTAGTATTCAGAACACTTACAGACCTCCCATGACAAAAATAAAAGGATGAAGAACACAGTTAAAAAAAACAGACGAAGAATCTGAGTAGACATTTCTCCAAAGAAGATATACAAATGGTCAGTAAGACATGAAAAGATCATCTGAATATCACTAGTCATTAGAGAAATGGAAATCAAACCCACAATAAGATAATGATGTCACACCTGCTAGGATGGTTACAAGTTTTTTAAAAGGGAAAATAACAAGTGTTTTTGAGAATGTAAAGAAATGAGAATGCTGGTGTGTTGCTGATGGAAATGTACAATGATGCAGCCACTGTGGAAAATAGCTTGGCAGTCCCTCAAAAAGTTAAAGATAGAACTACCATGTGACCCAGCAATTCCACTCCTGGGTAAAAAACGTATGTTCACACAAAAACTTGTACATGAATATTCATAGCAACATAATTCATAGCAGCCGAAAGTGCAACCCATCCAAATGTGGCATATCCATACAATGAAATATTATTCAGCCATAAAAAGGAATGAAGAACTTGCTATTCCAAGTACAGATCCTTGGAGACATTGTACTAAGGGGAAGAGGCCAGCCACAAAAGACCGAGTAGCCTGTGATTCTATTTATATGAAACATCCCGAAGAGGCAAATCCATGGAGACAGAAAGCAGATGAGTGACTCCCAGGGGCTGAGGGAAGGCAGAAATGGGGCATGGTGTTAAGGGTATGGATTTCTTGGGGCATGATTAAAATATTCTGGAATTAGATAGTGGTGGTGCTGGTGCAACATAGTGAATATCCCAGGAACCACAGAAGTAGTTTTTAAATGGTGAAGTTTATCTTATGTGACTTATATCTGAATTTAAAAATTGTTTAAAAGGACCTTGTGCCTCGAGAGGCTCCAGACTGAAAGATGAGGAGGGAGGCTGTTCCATCCATGAATTTGTTTTGCCTTCTTCCCCATCAGAGGCATCCATGGTGCAGTGGGACCCACGTGGGGAGAGGCAGAGGCAGCTCCTCAACCTGGGGAGGACAGGTGTGTGTTGCCTTCTGAAGGCGGCAGGGGCTATCTGTGGTCCTGGAAAGCAGTGGTAGTCTCTGGCTCAGGGCCCAGATGCCCATGCATGCAGGCAAACGTCACCTGCAGAAGTTTTAAGCCAGCCTGGAATAGTAGGTTGCTCTCGCCACACTTGAATGGAGGCTTGGAGACACCTGGGGTGCCAGCTTCTGGGCTGCAGCCCCAAGAGACAGACAACCTGCCATCTCCCTTCCCTCTGTGTGCACAGCCTGGCTTCATTAGCAGGGAGGTGATGATCTAATTTCCTCCAAACAAATGTTTGGGATGTGGAGTTTTCCTTCAACAATGAGCAGTGGCAGACGGTGAGAAATCTGCTTGCACCTTCTGGGGCTGGGTGGGGGAGCCACCCTGATATGCCTGCCAGCCTAGCAGGCACTGTCTGCTGTGGCCTGGGTTTTCCTCACATCCTGAGCTGGGACATGATTGGCTGGAGCTGTAGGAAGGATAATGCTGGTCCATCAGTGGTCAGGGGACAAGGCAGGCAGACTGGGAGGAGCTCTTCCGATGGTCCCTCCACAAACTTGGAGTTGGGGGGCCCTGCATTTGCCACACCCTCAAGAATGACTTGGGCAAGGCACTTGCCCACTTGAGTCTCCAGGAAGGAGACCTTGAGACAGAGCTCAGTAGGCAGGTTGTTTGGGGGCCACTCCTGTGGCAGGGAAGGAGGAAGCAGGAAGGGACAGAGGGGCACACTGAGCTGCAGTGCAGGTGCAGTGACAGCCTCGGTTACTCTTGTAGGAATCCCAGAGCTATTCTCAGTCTGGGATGTTGTGGGGCCATGCCTGTGTGGGGCAGCCATGGGACATGGGCTCTCCCTGGAGCAATGACGTATGCATCTGGGGCAACTTCTGCCAAGGCCTCTCTGGCCTGAGCACTGCAGGGAGCTGGTGAGGAAGCCCTGGAGAGGCCTGGGTAATGTGATGCGGCCTCCAGCATACCAGTCTCTAAGGTGTGGAACTCAGAAGGCTCCTGCTCTGGGTGAGAAGCAATGATGAGGACACAGAGGCAGCAGGGAGCTCACCCCGTCCAGGGCTTTCAGCCATATTCTCAGTCCTTACAAGGATGGTGTGA